ATACACAAAACGAAGGACATCATAGATAGCACTGCTACTTACTTCTTGTTGATGTTAGAAGTGCCTGAAATAATCGAAGAGATCATAGTACTGCTACGTGGCCTCTACTTGCTACTTAGGTCATTGTGTTTGTGGTGCTCATATTTCTAGTTGTGCTCCATCTGATAATGTGGATGTGCAATTAGAGAAACAATATATCATGATCTAGATCTACCACTTGGGAAGTTGTAATGGTCTCTAACGTATTGCTGCAGAAACTACTTCGTGGCGCCGTCCCATCGATTTCCTCAAGTGTTCTTCATGTGTTTTAGTCTATTTATTTTTCGATCACGACGATCAGGAAGATTGTCCTTGTCATTTAGTAATTATAGTAGACCATACTTATACTTGTGATTAATCAATGTCCTCACGTTCACCTATCATTCTGTCACTTGACCAACAAAGACGATGTTTGATGAAATGTGTAGTTCTATCTTCAGAATAGTACTAGTTCTAGTATCTACAACAGCAACTTCAGCTTCTTCAGCATTCTGCATTCAGGAGAGCTTCGTGCTGACTATAATAATGTTATACCCATGATCAACTACCCCTCATGACGTGGTGAGATGAAGCATCAAGGCTCCACCAAAGAACCACAATAAACTTTACAACGACCTCACGTCAACAACTTCGGGGCATTCGTATTAAAAAAAAAGAAAGCTGCGTGGAGGGTCTTCTTCTTCATAGCATAGAAAAGAAATTTAATTCTATCCATCCTCGGTACTTCTATGCCATAATCATGGAAAAGAAACTTGTTCTGGTTCTGTTATAAAAATTCCATCTTCTACTTGTAACCACGAAGATGTGCATTCATGCCCAAGCATCAGCGGCTGCGTCTTCTGTCATTCGCTTCGAGCCACCCGCTTTTTTCACCAGCCGCTTGTTTCATGGGAATCGAGTTCACCTTTCTCTTATATCTTCTCGTAGACTTGCTTCAGGTATACGTTTCCAGGAGTCTTGATGTAGTACGCAGCTAGTTCGTCATTGATTAAGAGAAAGATATCACAATCTTTGAGGTGACTAACTTGTACTTCCACTGTTATGTGTGAAGATGGTGCTGTGCCACTAGTAGTGAATACTAGATGGTTTTTGATTTTGTAGTTATTCATTATCATTCTTGTAACAAGTATCATGCTCCTAGTGGTACAACTGCTGCTACATTTTTTGAATTATATATCAGTTACTTTACATTCGGACTCTTGACCATAAAAAATAAAACAATCTATGTTGTTGTAAACAATCGATCCTGTCCTCGTTTCTGGCTTTAATCCACATCCCGAAGGTTTTTCTGCCCTAGTCTATTTTTCACCCGTAGTAATCTTCTGCGCAAGGACGACCTTCATCACGTTCACCTCCACCATATCCGACGAAAAAATTCTCTGAGGATTTATTATTTTAATAGAAATAGACTTCTGCTAGTTAAGTGGTACGTTGTATCCTAATCTTCTGTATTCCGAAAATCTAAACGATATCAGGATGACCATCTCAAATTGCAAAATCGTCAGCAGATACAGCTGGACGATGGTTTTTCGTAGTTCGGTATTCTCGCCTCGACCGTGAGATGCATCTGATGCAAAGACCGCCATGGAACGTAATATAGCGTTGACTTCCGATCTCCATGTCATGTCATGGAACCTCGTTTTACGTTATCCGAAGCCGAACGTTTTTGAGGCCTTTCAACTATTACTTGGAATCCTTTGTGACAACGACATGTCTGCTTCAAAATCGGACTCCAGTTCGAACGTTGCTAAAATCCGGATCATCATCAGATTTCGTCACGCCTAGTGGTATTCTCAGCACTTCACAAGTCGCACTTCGATACGTGCTGGCACAGGAGACTTCCTGCATGCTGTAGTTTAGACTCCGCAGAAGAGTCTCTCCTGGCGAAGAGAGGGCCGACGGACCACGTGTGAGCTCTATGCGAAACCACCCACCGTGCATGGGTCGGCGGAGAACGTGGCGACTTTTGTTCAATGAGCCACAACCGGGGGAAGACACACTTCTTCTTACAGACGAGGACGGTCCCGAGATGCGCAGTCTCCTCGTCTTTAGACCTGCTTGTCTTTAGATTTTTTAGATTATTTAGAAAGGTAACATCAAGATGCATGTCTTCAGTATGAGTATCTCACAGTGTGAAGAAAGAACAGATAGCAGAATTTCACTCCCAATAACTAAACAAGTCTTCTATCCTATCTTCGAAAATACCATTTACAGTTTCCATCATTCTGCTCGGCTAATGCTACATAGCAGCTGCTCCGTTCCAACCTAAAAGCAGAGGTTTCGTCGGGTGGAGCAGGCGCTTGACAAGATACTGCGCAGTCCGTCTCCATTTGCCGTCGAATGCTTGACAAGATACCTCAAGCAGTGTACCGAGGTCGTCCGCTCGACGCCGAATGTTTGACAAGATACTTGAAGCCTCTTGCTGTCAAGGTGCGCAGTCCGCTCGACGTCGGTCGCAAATTTAGCCTTTGGAGTTTTTTCTTTAGATTATTTAGAATTGCATATGAATAGCAATATTATCAAGAAGTGACTGAAGGTGGTCGTGTGAGATGTTTGGTTTCAACAGGAGCTACGTATAGATATCCGAGTATTTCGTAGTCCTCTTGTGGAAAAAGCGTCTCTCTAAAAAATCTAAATCGCTTTCGCGTCATTCAAATCGATATCCATTACCATTTTCCAACAACCTCAGGCTTGTCACCTCGCGAAGCTTTTGTTTCCTGGGGACGCTCCCCCACCAAGCAAGTAGATGAGAGGCAAAGGACGGGGTTCGTCGAGGTCCGTCCAGGTTCGCCATCTTGTGTTTCGAATCGCCAAAAAATCTAAATTATCTCTTGAGCCTTTCGTTGTGGTGCTTCCGCTCGCAGAGTACAACGGCTGCACAGCTCAAGACGCTAAAAGAGCTCGCTAACGACACTGTAAGCTGCTGCTGTGGAACGATGAAACGGATCTGCGCGTGGCCGCATCTGCTCCCATACGGGAGTCATCCTCTGCTCGAAATAACATCAGGCCAAAGAATCTCCTGTAACCAGAAGAGACCAAGAATCTCCATGTCGGACGGTAGCTGAACAAGCTGCCGGTTTAGCTCTGATGCCGTGCGCTGGGAAAGTGCCAAACCACCACGATCAGGTTGTCTCACGCGAGGCGCTTCTTTCCCCCTCCTCTGCTGCGCAGGAATGAAGCCGGATGGCCGAAAGCTGCTAAACCTTTTCTTGCACATCATGGTGCACGACTAAGCGCATGTGACTGTTGACGCTCGCCCCGGATGAGTCCTTAAGAGGACGTGAGTGGNAGCACTTTGCGCGAAGACCAGCAGCACTCCACCAGACCAGCCTACTAGGCGGACAGTGGATGTGAATGCTGAAGCCTCATAGAAGCCGCTATGCTGATGATGAGTACCCGCGCAGCTGTCCGTTCCACAGCGAAGCCTGGAGCCTAGAAAGTGCAGGTTTGAACGTGGTGGGAAGAGAAAAAGTAGCATAAGTAGATGAAAACGAAAAGCTTCCCTCAAATGCCATAACTTTTCCGCTGAGTGGCGATCTCCATCGCCACTGCCCTTCCAACCACACACCATCTTCACGACGACGCCCACGTAGGTGCTCAAAGATTACCTCATCGACCGAAAAGGGCTCCCCGTCAATCATTCGAACGTACGAAACGCAAATCACCAATACATCCACCCCTTTTCCCTTGTCGTATGTCGTATCTAACTGGTCGACGATGATCTTCTCGTCTACTGTTTTATCGTCCTTCTTTTCGCTTGCCACGGTTTTGCTAAATCGGTCATATTTGTGCTCTGGAAGGGTAAGCTCATCTCCTGGAAATAGGGGACCAGGTTGATCCACCTCATACTTCCACTCCGTCTTTCCCATCGGCTCGCAAATACCTGAGGAAGATATTAAAGACGAAATAGACATAAAAGAGGAAACACACTTTTGACAGACTCAGAAATCGCCCACGCATCGACATTCACTACTCGGCCCGAATAATACTAAACAGCCGCATATTAATCCTAGTACTCGGTCGAGAGTCCCACCCGGGACGGCAGTCATTGAAGACATGTTGCAAAACCCCACGAAACAGTTCGGACTTTTTGGGAGCACGCAGACCCGATCTCCAGTGGCTTGCTTGTATGTTGTGCTGAAAAGTCCTGGCTTTCATAAAAAAACTTTGGGCTTCTTGGCGCTTGTTCTTGTAGTTGCGGTTCTTCTCACCAAAGTCATTAAAGAAACTTTCTACTTCGCATTTGAAGCGCGTCCACTGCACTCCCAAGGCGACCGCTTTTGAAGCCTTGCCGCCCATTTTTCGTCCGACAATAATATAATTAATATCTTCAGTATGAGGAAAATCGGAAGCGTCACAACATCGAACGTGTAAGCAGCTACTCTGACTTAAAAAACGTGTACTATATGGCCCACAGGTACTATAAATAATTAAGTTTAAGCTGCTATAGTTTCATCAGATCCAGCCACTACTTAAATACCATAGAGGTGCCTCTTTTCCCACCCATTCTATCGCAAAACTTCTAAAGACCTCGTAGTAGAGAGAAGAGCTCCTTGGCCAAAGACGCACTCGCGCATGGAGCAGGCAATCGGTGAAGAGCCGAAATAAACATGATCTGGAAAACTTTTAAGGTCTCACCTTCGGAAGTTCGTGCTCGCTTGTGCTTTTCGCTTCATTTGCTTTCACTCTCAACAAAACTCTCGCCCGATATCCATCGATCAGATCCTGACAAGC